ATATATATATAAAGTGTATGCACTAAAATGCATCACGTATCACGGCGCTGTGTACCGTCAAACTCAATAATAAATGTATATCAGTACGACATAATAAATATCCATGTGTAGTGTTCGCCCTTCAGTGAGACTTATCGGTCCCCGGTGTGTTTATTAGCCCGTAGTCGATGTTTTTGGATTGTGGTCAATTTCTCGATACCGCCCACTGCACACACGTATTGAATTGTCGTGAGGTTTACACGTTAAAGACGAATTGTTTTGTTTTTTCTTCACCGCTACGCGTGTGCGTATACAAAGTGAATCGTATCAATATCATTATTTCGCGTACGTTCTGTGCATATATTATGTGTGTATACACACTCAAGAAGCCAATCGTAATAATACGACAACGAAAAAACATAAGGTAATGGGTGTGTGTGTGTGTGTGTGGGTGGGGGGGACCGCACATATATGGAATAATAATGACCGATACTGTCCCTGTTGAATACGAAACGACGTTTGTGTAATTTATATCGTCGTCCGCCGCGCGGTATCTACATCGTTGGCAAGGCTCGGGCGGGCAGCGGTAAGGAGGAGGCGTTATCTCTTCGACTTTGCCCTCCGATTGAAGATTTATCGGTCGTATCATGGTGCTTATGGTTTACCCGTGTTCAAAATGAACGGTCGTAAGAGGTGAAGTTATCGGAAATATTGCTTACCACCGTCGACGTCGTAACTGCCGCCACCGCCACTGGATGTTTTTCTCCAATTTTGCATTAGTACACGAAAAATAGAAAATAAATACAATCAGGTATACGATGTTTTATACAAAGACGCGAAACGCAAGGATATACAGCATTGAAGTCCTACACGATCTAGATCAACGAGTACTCGCTATGAAATAATAATAATAATAATAATAATAATAATAATAATATTGTTTGATAAACGTATGAGTAGAGAAAAAATTAAAAATACATAATTCATATTTCGTCACGAAAAACAAATTAACGAATTACACGCAGCTTATGCACGGCGAAACAAAATAGGATTTATTTATTTTTCGAATAAAAACAGTATTCCGCATTGTAATTATAATAATAATATAATTCTTTGGTTTGTGTTTTACTTACTACATCATATTGTATATATGCAATATACGGCTGCACAGCGTTTCATAATTATTATTTCGTACTTATTGTATGCATTGTGTTGTACTCGAAAATCCACGACGATTCCTAGAACAATCAATCAGTCAGCGGCGAGCTGTTTATAACGAATAATTTTTTCGTAACAAAAGCTGTTAAAAATATAATCGGCGAAATAAAGTATTCAGTTTTTTACTATTAAGTTTGTTCGGCTTGCACTTATACTTTGGAACGATGCAGTCACATACATCGCAAACGAATAACTGCGGAACAAAAATAATACGTGTTTACCGATTAGTCAATTACTTCTTGTAGCGCACGATCAGTGACGTATTTAGACGTTTTGCGCCCCGGCGCAGAAAAAAAAAATTGGCGCCCCACTAGAGGCCTACCCATGGAAAATATAAGAGATAGATCCTCATAAACCTATTAGATATTCTAAAATCAATGCTACTTTTGTGTAGTAGGCATGCCGCCGCACGCGATAACATAATACGCCGTATTATTATAAACAATTTATGTTTATTGACATTATCACAACAAATTTGGTCACTAATATTAGGTGTATTAATAATATTCTGGAGAGCTGACAGCTATATTGCTATAAATACATTAATAATATATATTAATAGACAATAATAAACAATAATTTCAAAATAATTATAAAAGTTCAATAATTCACAAGTGAGCAAATTTCTGAATATAACATTTTGGCGCTCCCAAAACACTGGCTCCCGGGGCAGTAGTAGCCAGTGCCGCCCCCTAAAATGCGGCCCTACGCACGACTGATGTTGAATAAAACGAAGTCAAACATTTATTGATACTCTGTTTACCGACCGAAGATCGTGTACAGCACTACGGAACACGTTATATGGTGGATATTTTAATGCTATGCCTTTAATGAATTTTCCCACGTGTTACTACTGCTAGTATTAATAAGGCTGAACTATAGTCTTACGAGGCCAGGGTGAAACTTCTAATCGATGGCCACCGTCTAACAACCACTAGAAAAAATTAAAATAAAAATAATTCTATAATTGACGCAAACCATATGTACCCTTTCAACAAAAGTCAAAATTAAATGATTACAATATAAATAAGTAAAAAATAAATCAATGTTCAATGAATAGTTATATAGTTTCGTTTAATATTTGTATATCTAAGTATATAAACAATTTTAGATCATTATTTGATACTTGAAAATTAAATTCTTTTGATATATTAAATAATAACTTGTGTTATTTTATGCCGTTAAGAAAATCAAGGGCCTGCACCTAAGGATTCTTAAAAATACCTCGGACTTGAGGCACTGGTGTTTTGTATTTCTTGCACCCTCGCTAAATCTAGAACTGGATATTCCTATAGTAAAGTGAGCAATTTGCTTATAAATTTGAATAATGGTACAATTATAGTGACGCGAGTTCAGTACGACACGATTTTCATTTCTAACGATATATTTATTGCAAGAACATGTATACAAGAGAAAATTTTACCTAAAAATTAAGTTTAAGTTTCGTTTAAACGATTGATCGCTTCATTGTTTAATGTGTTCGTATAGTTTTTTTAAATTCGAAAATAATTTTTTAATCAATAACCTTTATCCAATTTTAAGTCCAGATGAATTATACTTGAAAGTTTTTAATTATTTTTACTTCCACAAAAAGTTTGGTTCGCAAATATTACATTATGAAACAAATAGCTTATTGGCTCCAGTCAGAATGTAAAATCTATAAGCAGGTAATAATAAAGCTATTACAAGCTTATTAAACTGTATCGATTTCTGTGATATTGAATCTAATACTTAATGACTTTCTAATATTAAAATGTTGTTGTTTATTAATACGATTCAGAGTCAATTGCAATATCTGTTATATGAAAGTATCGTAGTAACATATAATAATATTTATAATTGTCATAACTTATTAAAACGAACACGTGTATTTAATAAATGTTCTATAAAAGTAAAAATGCAAGTGTTATTTAATTATCATAATGTATACAATAACTATACAAATACAATTTAAATTAAAAAGCTTAATCGTATGTATCCAAAGTAGATTAAACTTCAATTAAATATTATTAGTTTTTATTTATTACCCATATAAATGTTAAAATGTGTGACCATTACAAATTGAGTAATACAATTAAAATTTTAAATATTAATTTGTCAGAAAATATAAATTATTACTTTTATTTTTATAAATATTAAAAACCTGAACAGTAGAGCCAATGGTTTGAGTTTTGTATTCTGGACTGGCGTTATAGATGATGAGTATTAAATTTAATATATTTTTGAAGTTAAAAAAAAAAATCTTTATATCTAACTAAAAAAAAATATTTTTTAAATTAATTATAAATAACATGTAATATTGAATTAAATAGTCAGTAAATATTTTTTGTAGTTAAATATTAATATAAATTATAGTGATGTTTATTACCATTAAATGTTATGTAATATAGAAGAAGGAAATATAATATTCAATTTATTTTTCGTACGCTTACCCATGTACGTATATTAAATTAATTAATTAAAATTCTTTTGATTAAAAATGGTAATTTATTCAGAGCAATTATAATTAAACCTTAGAAATTAATTTTCCTTATTTATTATCAACTGCAACATCATAATAAATAGGTGCCAATACTTTAAATAGATTGTTGGATATCCGTTATATGAGCAACTAGCTGCGTTAAACAGACACACGTGCGTACATAGAGAATAACAAAAATACAATTGCCATTATGATGCACCAGTTAATTTTTTTTTTTTTTATAAAGTTTTTCATACAAATTGTATCTGTATTATTTTAAAAGCTTGTGGAAAATAATACTCGTATAAATGTATATAGATAATAATACATAACTTAATTACACGTTTATGCAGTTATAGAGTATATCACTTTATCAGATTTTATCATAACTGTTGAATAAAAACATGGGAAAAACATAATAACGAGTACATTTGTCAGCAAAATAGTAGCAATAGTCAATAAGTAATTGTAATATTAACAAGAAAAAATGTTTTTCAGAAATAATTGGCACATAAATGAGCAATTATATTAATATTATCGTTCACTGTGTTTTCTCTTCAAATACGAACAACTGCGTTTGAAATTGCACCGAAAGCGTTTAATATTGTATATATTTTAATTGTGTGATACTTATAAATTATAACTAAATTATACCACAACAATATACTTGCTATTATTATAAGTTATAATAATAGCAGGTATATTTTTGCGATGTGCACATCTTAATATTAAAAATTTCATTGCGTATTTATTAATCCAAATGCTAATTTTTGTTGTAGCTTACACGTTCCGCCGCAAATAATATCCTTTTAACTATTAAAATGGCGAACAAAAATACACGTAGGTGTAGAGTGGGATGCTACAGTTAGGGTTAGAATGTAGCGATTGTGTAAAATGTCTCCAAGACCCGTAGAATATTATTTCTCTTAATAAGTAAAATGGGGAAATTCTCATTAAGACTCTATGGCGAGAGGTACAATATAGGTGTTTGATTTTTATTCACACGCGATAAAACCCAACGGTTTTAGTTCATTATTATTATTATTGTGTTACACCGGAAAACACGGCGCATAATTGGGTCATTTTTCACTTTAATCAACCGCGAAGAAATCTCCGCCGAGAGTTTCCATTAATTACTTTTAAATTTAATTTTATATTCGAAACCCACCGGAATTGTTAAAACGAGAAACCTTTTGAAATGCCATTTTTAATAAAGGAATAATAAGAAATTAAATGTGTTAAGTTGTACAATGTATATATTCAAAATGTCTAACGTCTGTTAGACAAATAACATTTAACTGCGAAAATTTAATAGTGATGTCTTTTTATGAACTTTTTTCAGGCCAAATATGACGGAACTAACCATATTCCACACCAGAATATCAAAAAGAGAAATGTATCCTGAAAACGACACGTATGTGCCATCAATTTTAAAAAAAATGTCTAGTTTGCCAATCGTAAGTGTAGGTGAGTAATATGCACGTAAAAATATTTAATTAACGATTCACTATATCACGGCATACTAAAATTATAATGCTCAAATTTCTATATTTTAGCCCAAAAAGAAGGAGGTACGCAGATCAAGCTCGTTATCGAGTATTTGAACGGAGATAAAGCTCTTATGAAGCCAATGAGGTAAATAATGATTAAAGAAGTTTTGGTTTTGAATTTTTTACAATCTAGGGTATTTTATGTTTTACTGATTTATTTATAAATGATTTCCTAATTATTTACATATTTATACTTTTTATGAAAACATAACAAAGTAGCCCTTGATTGTATTATTAGTATTTAATGTATGCAAATGGACGGTGAACTTTGTACATTATCTGAAACTAAATCAGACATGTTGATGTTTTAAAAGCAAGTTTTATCGCTAATTATGTTGGATTATTATTTTTTTTTTTTTTTACCATTGAGAGATTTGTTCGAAAAATAATTGCTAAAATGCGTGACGTTAATTTGGAAGATTGATTTTTGACGTTATTTTTTTTTTTTTTAATGTGCTAAAAATATTTCAACAAATTCGTTTAATCTTATACGTTTTTATTTTTGTCTTAAACTTTGATATTATTACTGACGTGGTTTTAAATACCAATTATTTTTGGAAAATGTTATAACGGTTAATATAAAAATCATTGGAATTAGATTTGAATTTACACTTCAAGACACTCAAGCGTGGAACAATAACATTTTAATGTAAATCAAATATCAATAGTTCTTGATTTAAAATAATATTTTCTCGAGACGTTTATTGCAGCCACTTGCACCACACAGATGTTAGAAATTTTAAAAACGTTTTCATGACGCTGTTTCATATTGAGGAATAAAGATAAGGGTTTTATCGATTTTTTTTTTTTTTACAAATAAAAGCTAGAAGCACGTACAAACATAAAACAGGTACTTGCACTGCAAAACGTTTTGAATAGAATGTTGAATGAACCTCAACATAAAGTCATTTGTAGGCATATTTTGCTTGGCATTTTACGCGTTTCAGTTTTTATTGTACTCGTAATATAAAACAGGAAATGAGGGTTGAAAATCACTACAAATATATATAAAATCTCAATAATTTAACATTAATTACTATTAATGTTATTGGCTCTAATATATACAAAAATAATATTTCACGTTCATTGAGTATTTCTTGTTAGTAATATGAAATTGAAATCAGACATCTGTCACAGTAAATCAATATTTATTATAACAAGAAAACGATATCACTATACTGTATTTTTCTTTTAATTATATTTATATTTAAAATGAACAACCGGAAAGCATAGATAATATATATAATTAATGTATAGATGATATATAGATAATTTTTTTGTAGGCTTGTCAACAATCATATTATTTTAAATAGATTATTGTAGTTATATACACTATATTATTTATAGTTTTTTTTATTAATTTTTTAATTTTTTAAGAGAATCAGTTAAAAAGTTTACAATTGAATGATTACTTATTATCAAAACTTGTAATTAAAATATTATTTTTTTTAACTAATATTCAATATATTATTTTTACGAAAAATACTTGAAATTTTGTTATAGAAAAATAGTGTTTTTCAACTATGGGATTCACAGTTGACTATTTTTATTTCATATTTTTTATATATTGTTAATTGCAATATTCTATTTGTTCTTTCTATGAAATGTAATACTTTTAAACACTTGAAAATAATTATCATTGAGCATTCATATTGAAATATAACCATTGAATTCAATTTTTTTTTCGTACATTTTTAATGTTTTTAAAAATCCTAATTATTTAAATAGTAAAAACTGGTTTTGGAACTGGTACAATAGTTATGATCCAGGAGATCCGTTTTTCGAACACAAAGATTAATTACGTTTTGATCAAACTTATAATGGCCAAAATATTACACAATAAAGGCTTGTACCGGAGCGAATGAAGCGAGACGAGAGCGAGGGCTGGACACCCAGTGTCTGTACCGCGTCTGTATATTTTTTCAATACGCGTACTAACTGTACGCATTTCAAATTTCCTTACGAGATGCCGTCAACTGGGTTTACATAATTGGTCATACAGATGCAAAAATTATGCAGCTATTATGTATTACACTTTCTATATGGACTAAAATATGAGATATTAAACGGGAAATCATTGTTTTTTTTTTTTTTTTTTTTTTTTAATAAAATATTTAGCAGGCTAATAATTGCTTGTTGATGTAATAATACTTCGATTCGTGACGAATACGTGGTATGATTCAAAATCAGGGAAACATCGCCCGTAGGGTTTTACAGTGAACAAAATTTAATATTATTCATCATCACCACTTTGCACTGTTAATTAATTGTTTTTTGAAAATTAATTTCGTTTTTTTATGACTACAGGTTCTCTCGAGATCAACAGACTCTGCCGAATCACTTTTACTTCACTGACTACGAAAGGCATAACGCCGAAATTGCTGCATTTCATCTCGACAGGTAAGCCGGTCAACAATAAAATCCCTCGTATTAGTCCCGAGTGGTAATTATAATCGTTAACAATATTATGAATGAAACATTTGCTTCGTCCATGCGATTCGGTGCATCATGACGTGTTCGTTATGAAACAATGGGTTCCATTTTAAAAGTGATATAAGCTAAACATTTTTAAAATTTAAACATTTTTAGAATGTTTATAATACATGTACGTGTGTATGTTTGTATTATTTTTTATGTATTTATAAGTAAAATAACATAATATTATTAACACAATATTATAATATTAATAACGATAATAATTTCAGTAAGAAAAGTTATCAATTATTACGTTACGATTTGTTGTTATCAATTGTGGACGGTTATCAATAGCCGAGTATCGAATTGATAAACTGTGGAAACAATTACTGTCACTTTTTCTTTTTTTTCTTTTTTTGTACAATATTGTAACACAGGTATCGCTATAACTGCTCATCAGCGTTATAGCTAAAAAGTATATTTTTCCGTATATTTTCGTAGACAATCATTATGAATAGATGTTCATTTAGTATTAAATATTAATTATTTGTAAAACATTTATACTTAAATTAAACGAGCAACTTTAATCGATGTTTTATCAAAAATATTTAATCACGCATGAGTGTAGATCTTCTGACGTCTCGTTATTATGTACATCCCACGTTCAGGGTTAAAATCTCAGCAAATTAATAATCCATTTTCAATTGATCGTTCGTAAAATACTGTTTTTGTATTCTATATAACATTTTATGGGTATATTGTGGTACAGTGGATAGCCCCGGTTGTCAAGCGGTCTGGTTCTCAAGTTCCCGGGCGAGTGAGTACCCGCGATTATAGCAATAAAGTCATACCCACACAGAACAAAACGTAAATTCCAACACACTAAAAAACATGACCCTGATGTATACGCCACCTGACAAGAAAAAATCTTATCTTCATTGTAACCGAACTAAATAAAAATATCAATTACACAAACAATGCTAACAATGTGTATATGTATGTATACGTGTGTTGCATAAAAGTTAAAATAATTTTTAATTTCAAAACTAGTTTGTTATTAAAACACTTATGATTCATGTAGGATACTGGGGTTTCGGAGAGCAATGCCGGTCAGTGGCAGATTGGTAAACATTACGTCTGAACTGATGGCCCAAGTAACCGCATCCGATCTGTTAAAGACGTTTTTCGTTTCACCTGACAAAAATATGTGCTTCCACGGTCAATGTTCCTATTACTGCGACACGTCCCACGCCGTATGCGGTAATCCGGACACGTTGGAGGGCTCGTTCGCCGCCTACTTACCGTCCCAAGAGGTTTTGGAAAGGAAGACGTGGAGGCATCCTTGGAGGCGCAGCTACCACAAACGGAAGAAAGCTAGATGGGAAATAGGTTAGTGTTGCAAATATAATATTATGTTCGCGTTTGATGAATATTTTTTATTTTTGAAAAATATTTTATCAGTTTTTTCACAACTCTGTGATGTGGAAAACATATTTTTAACGATTCCAACAAAATATTAAATAACTTTTGTGAATTGTCACAAAAAATGGTATATGTGTAATATTAAAATAATTCTAAATGTGTTTTATCGAGACGAAAGATACAAGACGACAATGTATAGTACCAAAATTATATCACCCATGAAAAATATTACATTTCAAAGCTAAATTTGATTTAATGAAAAATTTCTAAGAGGTATATTTTAACAATTATTTTACCTGGGAACTGAAATATTTAATTAATATATTTGTTTGTGATAAATTATGTCCAATTCCAAATGTGTTATATTATAGTAAAGTAGCAATAAGAGTTTTTAATATATACACCAGTGTTAACACACCTGCAACAACTGTTTTCAATTAAAACTTGAGAATTTAATTTTTTTTTTATCATTATTGTAAATATTTAATAAGAAAGTATTAGTATAACTTTTTAGTTTTTTTTTTTAAATTTCACAGCGAAAAGTTTCAAAATTATGTTATTTTTTAAAAATAATTTTTTCTAACATTAGGTACATCATAAGTAATATTTTGATTTTTAAAATTTAAGCATAAAATAAAACTAAAATAAAAGTATAATTATTAATTTTATTGTAAATTCAAATATAAATATCCAAGTATTATATATATTATGTAATAACTTGATACAAACTCCTATTTGATGTTGTACTATGGTAAAAAAAAAGTATGAATATACAAATTGTACAATTATATATATAATTATACAATGTATGTTCATACATTTCCGATAACATAAATACTGTGATAGGTATATTTAGATTATTTAGAAAAAACAACTGAAGTATATTGATAGCTGTATAAAATTATTAGGTACGTATTATATTCCTGACTTATGGAAATATGATATTTATACAATTTCAGTTGTCTTCTTCAATTTTCTCGGTAAGCTTCTGGTACCTTCCCACATTTCTGAAATAATTTTTTTTATTCCATTCCGTTATTTAGGAGATGGTTGTCATTTCACGATTGGCGCACGGACAAACAAGTCATTGTCGCCGTCATTTAATTGTTTTATCAATTTCGTAATCGACGGAGGAGCAATATAAAAATTAGTAATAATGTATTTAAAATCTCGTAATTAAATAGGTTAAACGTGCAGATTTTGTTTTTAAACTGTATTAGCAATCAACACATTTAGATTTGAAATAACAGCATTACTTGATAACATAGTAATTACACTGTTAAATCATGTTGTGTCATATAAAATATTTTATACAATTATATTTTTTTTCAAACTATTTTAATAGTTATTTAGACATTTAACCTTTCTTTTTTCCACTATAAAAGTTGACTTAACGATTCTTGAAAGTATCTATATGACAATGAAATTGATGATAATAGTTTAAAAAAATAATGATAGAAAATAATACTTTTTATTTTAAAAACAATTATTTATTATATTATGAGATAACAAATATATAATTATTTAATATACGAAATAATATGTACTTCGAAAAACTATCACTTTATGTCATTTTAATTGACGGGAACAGTAAATAACCTCATTATATTTTTAGAGACAGTTTATTTCACTTTTTACACTTTTTTAAATTAGTTTTGACCGTTTAATTACAAAATATAATAATTTAGTTCTAACGAGCTATTTTTGAATACAAAAAGTTTTATCAAAATAACTTGACAGACGAATTTTATTTACTAAACGCCTACAACTTTAATTACAAAATTCAATTTATTAAACAATACGATATTACTACGCTTGTAAGGTTTTTGATTATTACTTTACAATCCAGAGTGTAAAATTAATAAATAAAAATTACATACATTGAAATATTTATTCCCAATGGTACTATACTTATAAACTTATGAGGAAATAATAAATTTTATTGTACTTGAATGTTTTGAATTAAAATCATGCGGTTAGGTTTTTTTTTATTTTTTTTTAAATATATAATAATGTAAATTATAAAAGTATCAACGAGTTTAATTTACTTGAGCAATAAAATGGTTTTCAAAACTTTTATTCAACAACTACATATATCATTGTCAAATATTTCAACTATTTAATGCTGGCAACAGTTTTTACGTGATAATTTAATGAAAACGCAAGTTGTATACATATTAGTTGTACATTTCAATATATTTGATCTCACTGAGTAACATGTTTTTTAAGTAAAATTTCTAATATTTCACTCGAAATTAAAAAAAACATCAAGAACATTTTTGAAACAACTAAAAAGCACTTTAAAAATTGGTTCAATAACGTTTACCTACAAAATTCAAAGCATTACATTTTTAATGTCTTTTGTACCATATACAATTATACTTAATGCATTATCGGCAGTGAAACAAATGTATTTCGTTCTGAAGTTGTAAAACTACGTCAAATGCTTTTACGTATTAAAAATTAAAACGATATTTTAAGCTTTAAAGTACATAACATAACGTACGGCAGTTTACACGATCGGATGTATATTTTGTATTTGCTTTGCGGTGACGGTGACGCAGTTCAAACATAATCTATGTAAACGGGGACTTTGTTTGACGGTGGTTTTTTTTTATCGATAAAATGAATGTTAGGGGGGTTAGGGCATTCGCAAACTTTTAAAAGCCAAATACGTATCCTATATGCATTGCTCCTGTATCAACGTAACGGTTAGAACATTTCCACGCGATGGTCGAAGACACTTTAAGATAGAACGAAAAAGGTCCAGAATGCAATTATGTTAATATATATATACGTACACAGTAAAAAGGGTCGAGTTGCATTGGGAAATTCGAATCATACCCGAGGTGACGTTATAGTATTTAGTAAAATACACGTTTTTCGGAACTCTGAAAACGCAATGACCTCCCCCCCCCCCCCAAAAAAAGAAGAAGGTTTTTGTCGTTCGATTTCTCTGCGCTCGCGTCCCACGCGTGCGGATATCGATTGGACGGCACTCAGATTTCTATTATGTATATATATATATATATATATTTAACACGCGGGCCTCATGTGCTTCCAATTTTCAGATCCGAATTACTGCGAGGTGATCAGAAATGTGCCACCGTACCGGACCGGTCGCCGGTTGTTGGACATCATGGACCTGTCCGTGTTCGATTTCCTCATGGGCAACATGGACCGCCATCATTACGAGACATTCACGCTGTTCGGCAATGACTCGTTTCCCATTCATCTGGACCACGGCCGGGCGTTCGGCAAGGCGTTCCACGATGAGCTCAGCATATTGGCACCGGTCATCCAATGCTGTCACATACGGAGGATCACTCTGGAAAAACTGCTCAGGTACACCGTCGTTTTGTTGGACGATAACGCTTATCGTGAAACTGTGACGCGGTCTAGAGGACGACCGGCAGTGGCGTAAGGATAATCGCTAGCGCCACTGGCAAACTTAGAAAAAAAAACAAAGTCCTTTTTACCGACTTATAACTCGATACGATGATATTTTTTTCAACTTTTAGTTTTTTATTTATTTATTTTTTTTTGTAAGAGGATGAATTTACATTTATTAGTTATTATTTTGCTGTGTAAATTTTAGAGTTTGCTTTTCTCGATTTAAGAATGGTGAGCTTGTTAACGATTTATTCATATGAATTTTCTTGCGTTATTTTCACAATTTCATTGTTGTTAAACTCATACGTAACGTGTAAAATTAGTCGAAATATTGACATTTCGAAAAGTGCATTGGAAAAATTTCGTAGGTAAAATAAAAATATGGCCATTGTAGAATTTCGCGCCCTTGTCGATTACCATAGTTCACTATACTCTTGCTACGCCACTGATGAGCGGGCTTCAATCACAGTAATGCGCCGATGAAGAACCTTTAGGACCGTGTCCTGTGTAGACCAACCTGTCCATAGTCCATGCCAATTCTTAACGATCGGTTTGATCCGTAGTGAAACTCGGTCGGGATGCGCCTTTACCTACCGCATCATAGCATAGATATTCACCCGTTATCGTTGAAAACAACCACGAACATTTTACCGTGCACTCGAATGATGTTTGGCTAGGTTAGGTCGGTGATATACGATACTCAATGAGCAATCCGATACGTATCGATTTATAAGTACGAATTTACATTTTCAATTTTTATTGAAAGCCTATTTACATGTAAATAGTAAGTAAATGTAATAGACACGTTGGTCGAACGTATACCACATCACGGAATACACGGACCGGTGACGGTGGAATAGTTGTGTCTCAAACGTTTAGAAAAGGGAAAAACGCACTCGGTGAACGGATACGATGCGAAAAGTATCGTTGTTCCGTGCCCCTAGTGTCGCACACAAAAAACACAAAACCGTCTCGCCCCCACCGCCGCTACGATTTCAGAGCTCGGAGAAACGAAGCGTCCGCCATGATCTTGAGATGTACGAGGACCACACGATAACGATGCGCCCATCGTCTGTCCGTGAAATCGTGTCGTGCAACACCGGGCGTAGACGTTCTGTGTTGAACAGTGTGTACATCATTTTGCGCCACTGTCGACTTAACTGGCAAATCGACGGGAAAAAATGTTGCCAAGAAATTCGAGAAGGCTTCGCAAACTTCCGGCTGACGACCCGGTACGGGAGAAAAATGTCGTTTGTACATTGGAACCTCCGTAGTGATGTGTTGGTGCAATATATTTTCAGCCACGTACGTCCGATCCGAAGACGCCGTCGTCGAGTGCAGGACAATGGTGTAAGAGTGTGGAAGGAGGTGGTGAGCGGGATACGCGCATGTGGATATTCGGACTTAACTGCTCGTCGCCGGATAAAAGGGCCCAGGAGAATAAACGGCGGCGTGCCAATGCCGTACGCGACAGGCGGTGAAGGGCGAGCGAGGGCAAAATCGGTCGAGTCCTTCTATATACACATATATATATATATATATATACATACGTATACGTTGTACGTACAAGAGAGAAGATAATCTTAAATAAACGGTGGCTGTTAAGAGGTTGAGAAAACCCATTACGGGCATTTGCAAACATACGAGGTGGACTCGATAAATAATTCAACGAGGACAAAAAGCCTGATGGCGGCGACGACGTTTTGAAAAGCTTTCGTGCGAGGCGACCGCGTTTTCGGTATAATATATATGTATATGCACGCGTATTGTAGGTACAGATAGGCTGAAGTACTTAGCATAATTATGATGGACCAGCGTTTCCGGTTCGAAAACGCAGGAAAACCGCTGCTGCTCCGTGGACAGTACGTTCAGTGTACGTTTACAGCAGCCATCCATAATACGGTCATAATAAATACATCGCGTTTGCGCTTCGATGCGGTTTTTCGGACCGAGTGCTTTTGTATAGAATCCCGATCGTTCGATACGGCTTTTACCCGCGAACATGTCAAAGAAAACGCGCTTTCGTCCACCAAAATCGTGTTCTTGGAATTCTAAAATTTATTTTTTTTCCCTTTTTCTATACTCGATAGAACTTTGTGCACTTGACTCTGTTTAAATGTCAACTGTAATCGTCAGTCACTATATATGCAAATAAACGGATCGGGTATCGTGGTCGGACTTTTCCACAGCGAATTTTAATGCGCCTTGACGATTTTCGCAAATTAAGTCTTACACGCATAGTTAAACTTGTCAACCGATCGAGTCAATTATGGTGCACATTTAAAAGTGTAAATATAATAGTCAAACAACCATCGCATTGGTTTAAATTGAAAACATGATTTTTACATGATTTCATGTAATAACGTCCTTCAAACAATCGACGAACATAATTACGATATTTTTACATAAAATAATTTCGTTTCAATACACGTCGTATTCATACACTAATAACTCGTGTGTGTACAATAAAATACATTAATTAAAACTCGGTATACGATTAAACGAATTTAGATATTTCACTTAATTTTGTATAATGCGTGATTATATTTTGAACTATGTAATAAAAAAGAAACGCGTATCTACGTTTCGTTTTATAGCGTTATAACAATAATAACACAACACTTATAATAATAATTCATGTCGAGTTTATAATTTCATGCTGTAAACCTTAAAACAACAATTTTGGAATTGATACGGTACCGGTTAGTTATACACTATATGTACGTTACTCCGCCATACCGACCGCACCGTAGAAAACGTATACGCAAAAATGTGATACAGGTTTTTTTCTCTGCATTTTACTCTAGTTCTGTTTACTTTTATAAATCAATCAACGCCATTACGAGTACATAATACTACCGTGTGTGTGTACGTGGTGCGGTACAGTGTACTAAACAACGAACATTGGCAAACAGGTACACTGACACTGGTAATATATATCATAATTAGTGTTGAGACTTATCTAGATAAAAAATATTAATTATCAATTATTTTATTTGGACATAAATATAAATTTTACCAATTTATTCATCTTAAATGAACACTTTAGATATCTACTGTTTATTTATGTATATATAAATATTTTTTTTATGCATTACATTTGATTAATATTTTGAGTGCTTCGGGGACTCGGGATTTTAACCGAACATAACTTGGGTAGAAATAATATTTAACAGTGAAAATGTGTAGTTAAAATTAATATAGCCGAAGAAGTATCCATAAGTTTTCCTTAATTTCGACAAACATTTATAGCCTAATGAGTATTGACCAAATGTAGCCATTATTTAACGCAGATCTAAATATAATGATCTATTTGGAACAGTTTAATTTTCGTTAAATTTATGTTAATAAATTGCAAAAACTATAGCGACGCTTTTAATGGTTAAACGGATAAGTCTATTACTCGTTCACTACCAATAACTGTTTGCTAGTGTTTTTTCAGCACGATTGGTCTTACCACGGAAAACGTCGACGTTTAAATGAGTTTCAGAAATAACCATACTCATATATCAATACTCATTTTTTGTGTAGTAAACAAATAAAATATTTTAAAATCAATGCATATTTCAAACACAACAAACGAGTACAACATTTTTTTTTTTTTTGTGGTAGGCGTGATAATCTTTTTGTTTTTTGACAATTCAATATAAAATCGTTGTCTTTCAAAAATTTATCTGCTTTTTATCTAGACACAAATCATGATTATCTTTTACAACGATAGTTTTAGTTGAATTTATTGTTTTTATCTAAACAGATTTTTGGTACACTATATTTTTCCTTATCAAGGTAAAAAAAAAGTATTTATCTGGACTCAACACAGATCGTAATAAACATACGGGTATGATCATGTTTCGTTTGTCGTGTTAGCACATCCTTTGTATTCGCACTGCAACGAAATACGGTGAACCGTAATAATCTCTCCGGTGTTTGCGCGGTCCAATAGCGTTTCACGTTGTCCGTTTACCGCGGTAGATAAGATAAAGTTCAAACACGTTTGCCGCATTAACTCTTAGCGGTGTGTAAAGACTTCCTTACACATGAAATGCGACGAGCAATTAATACTATCACGATAATGACTGGAGTACGGGTTTTGAAGGCATTCGCTGTTTTTTCTATTGCTCTGAAACAAAGTTATGTGGGCTACAAATTCGATTTATACTACTTCGAATAAAATGCACGATATTTTATTTTGCTATTTTATGCGTTTTTTGAATATTAATACTTTTTTGGGTATTATGGGTATCTTTTTTTGTTTTTTACTTACATTTTTAAATAAACGTTTTTCAAATGTTAATATTTATTTTTATACTACATAATGCGTTTCAAATCTTGTTTGGTCATTTCTTGATAACCTTTTTCTATGTGTTTAGTTTGTCACGTACCGTATAGTATATAGTAGATTAATTTATCTTGAAAAGACAATAAACATAAAAATATGCTCTTGTTTTGGACATTATCTACTTAAAATTACAGTTTAGTTTCCGTCGTATCACCGCGTAGTCATTTGCAAAATGCCAAAAATTATTAATTTTAATTTTTAAAAAAACCCATTTTTAATGCTTTTATTTGAACTTTTTTTGGAGATTTGTATGGCTTCATGGTTTTTTTAGTGTTTTTTTTTAATTATTTATATTTTAAAAATCCTAACTTTAATAATTACATATCCATTCGATTGAACAAATACTGTAACTCATTGATGACACGGAAAATTACCATAAATATAAGTATATGTATATTTATATACATTCAGTGGCGTACATTCAAATTTGATCTGGGGGGGGGGGTTTAAAAAAAATAACCAACAATAAAACCTCCCGTTTAAAACTACCCATTTTCCTAACAATCAAACACATTACACGTATAAATATTAATAGGCAAGACAGCAAAACAAATACAAAGGTTTACATAACTCATGGCAGTTAAATATTATTTAATATGCACATAGTAAATAC